CGCAGAACTCACATTAACTCTCATCAGAAAATGGAATTATGAGAATTCTTATTAACAGCAGCTCCAGACTCAACTCACAGTATTCACAGGAGTAATTATTATTGGGAAAGGCTGGGATTAATTTTTTTATAAGCTAGAGAAAATAAATTCTTAGCCATTGCCTGCCTTGGACATGCAGGAGAAGACAAAGCAATGTGAACTTTTATTTTAGGGAAGAAAAAAATAATTTTGAAATGTAATTTTGCTCTTGATTTCTGAGGGAATTCTTATGCAAGGCATTTTGTATGTAAAGGGATTATATGTCACCAATGCAAAATGAAATACAAAATAAACCAAAGAGCTATGAATGTCCTAAGTGTAGAAAATAATATATAATTTATGATACTTTAAATCTCATTAAAAACACTAGCTTTTGTAGCTTCCTAGCAACCAATGCTAAGGAGTCTCTCTGAAAAGAGGCTGGCTTTCCCCAGGCTCAGGGTCCAAAGCTTTAATAAATGAAGCCCATATGGTGAGTATATGAGGGTTCCCTGTGTGTAGGCCATTTGTCTGGGTGTTCTCGAAAGCCTCATATGATAGTTTATAATTTGCTAATCCAATATAATAAACATGAAAGCACTTTGTTAAACTAATGTTCAGGGTCTAAATTAAACCAGTCAAGGCCAGAGAGAGAAAAAGTTGGAGATTGCAATTGCAACCTCAGTTCTGAGTGTAGCATAAAGGTTTCCAAAAGAAGGTGTTGGGGGTGATATTTAAATTCTTCCTACTATTTTCCCTACCTCCCATCCCCCCTTTCTTTCCTTTCCTTTTTTTTTTTTTTTTTTTAAAGTAGTGCTGTGGTCTGCAGGTGGCTCCCTGGTCTGGAGGCTGGATTTTTCACATGGCTGACAGTGGTTCAAGTCCCAGGCCTGGCGGCTTGAAAATCATGGTGGATGCATGTGCATGCATGCCCCAAATTTTAAGAGAATGAAGGAGAAGGGATTGCTGCATGGCCATCCCTCTGGGGGGTGAGTTCTCTCTCTCTCTCTCTCTCTCTCCCTCTCCTCTCTTCTCCAAGGAGTGCATGTACCCTATAGGAAAAAAAAAAAAAAAAAAAAAAAAGCAATGTCACATCCACATTTTAGTTTTACAATTTACAACCACCCTGGGAGGTAAATATAGAATACATTTTACTGAACCCATTTGTCAGATAAAGATACTGAGGCTCAGAAAGTTAAATTATTGCAGTAAATATATGCAAAGTCAAGGTGGAGAAGGATGCCACAGAGATGTGAATGCTTGTTTGTGACTTGTGCTGATGATTGTATTATTAGATAGTACTTGCACTTTGTGAATCTTTGACTAAATTAAACCTTAGTGATCATAGGCTGATTTCCACAGTGTTAAAAAAAATGTACTGGTAGGTAAAAATCTCAAAGTCTGTTCCTCTTTATTTTTTTAACAAGAATAATGAGTGTGTATGAAGGTGTATGTGTCATCCAACATCACACAGCAAGAGGTTGGCACGGTCAGGTTGGGAGCACAGGTCTAAACATTTGCAGGTCAATGGACACGATGAAGGACAAATTAGCATCATCCATTTCTATTTTGGGGGAAAAATAAAAATTTTCAATGGGCCTTCTCTTTAGTTTCTGAAGGAATTTATGATGTAAGTGCTTTGTAATGAGATTAGAGGCCAGAGATGCAAAATGAAATAGAAACTACATCAAGGAGAAGTAAATTTCTGAAATGAAATAAATAGTGCTAAATAGTCTTTGGGGATGGTAGACAGCTGGCCCTATTGTCTTTAGAAAGAGAACAAAGGTGGTTGCTATGACTCCCTAGAAGTGGGGGCGGCATTGCTATTTTTCTTTGATGATCAAGGGTCTCAGGGAGAATGCCTCTTCTGCTCAAGTGACATTGGGATTTTCTACATTGTCCGATTGCTAGCAGTGCCTTCACTCTCTGTAAGTCCTGTTTGCTGTTGAAGTTCACTGAGTGCTATTTTACAACTTATATTGGGGGTGTAGTAGTTCATGGGTCTTTGTCTTAAAGCTGAGTTTCCCAAACTGTGTCGGGGGCACCATAGTACCACAGCTACGTTGCAGGGGACCATGGGATCTTTATTTCTGAAAGAAACTATTAATAGTTGGCATCTGTTGGATACGACATAAACTACTAGCTTGAGATAGTGAATATAAAACCATGCCACATACTTTTCTGTGATGTCATATCTTTGTGATGTGTGTGTGCGTGTGTGTGATAGTGAACATGATCAAGATCAAAAAGTATATAAACATCAGCCTGAAATAGGACATAAGGGTGATGGTGTCTAACCTGATTCCAAGGATTGAGACATTGTGCAGTGTCCAATGAATGCCCATCTCCCATTAATAAGTAGTTGAGGGTATTAACTAAAATACAAATTTATATTTTCTTTAAATTTCTTTGTATTCACTTTTCAATTGATTACTAAGTTGTTAGACTATAAATACTTAGTTGATTGGACCTACCTGCTAAATAAATAGGATTGTTACATTTTTCTTTTGCCTAGAGGCATGTGTTGGGTACTGCATGAATGATGATTGAGACTCCAAGGGCACTATGAACTGACTCAGTTTGAGAACATTCTGTATGTTTCTTGATCATCATAAGGGCATTTCCGGTGAATTTTCATAGAAGGAGACTTATGATATCTCCAGCTGCCAGGACACTAGACATAAACAAATGCTTTTAAGCTGTATGGCCTGAGGCAAGCCACATTTCTTCTCCAGTCTATAGTCTTTTTTTTTTTTTTTTGTCTAAAAAATGAAAGTATTAGCGAACAGATCCAGGACTTGAACCATGGTCAGACTTTTATTGCCTCCCCAGTGGCAGATAATAGTTTTCTCTCTTCTTTTGATAATAGCTGTGTAAACATTTTGGAGGAATCATTTTTCTCCCCAGTTTTTTCTATGTGGATCATGTAGGGATGACCCCCTTCTATCATACTTCTAGGAATAGACCCATGACTAGGACAGGACAGTTGAGTATTATATATCCTTAGTCACAGTGATTTAGAGTTGGCCACATAAATCAAACCAAGCCAATCAGAGGTAAGAGAAAGATGGAGGGAGGTGGCGGGATCCTACTCCAATCACATTATTTGAGCTCCTGGATCTATCCTTGACTGAATATTTAAGATATTTAAAACAACTATAGATCAGGCCAGCAGGTGGTGTGGTGGTTAAGGATGATGGACTTCCACATGGCTGACTATGGTTTGAGTCCTGGACCTGGCGACTTGGTTTCTCTCTCTCTCTCTCTCTCCCTCTCTGGTCAAATTAAAATAAATAAATAAACAAACAAATAAAGTTAAATAAATAAACAAACAAATAAATAATTCTTTAAAAAAATAAGAGAGAAAAGATCTATAGATAGACAAATAGATAAATCATAGATATATATATGGAAACATTGCTTTGGTTATAGCTCCCCTACCTTCCTTGATAGTGTCTTTTATTTTCAGACTCCAGAGATTCATAATATCGGACTTAGATATTATTAAGACCCAGTTTTCCTCTATTCATTTCTTAATTCTGAAATCATCCGTGCTAATTTCATTCACAAACATTGTTCTCTCCATGAGGTGGCAAGATGGCCACCAGTAGATCCAGACATGCATCTTTATAGATTAAGATGATACAAGGAAGAGTCTGTCTCTCTCCCAACAGTTTCAGTGTAATTCCTGATAGTGTTTATCATTGATTCTGTGTTCTGTACAAGTTCCTGAATCAGTCTTCATGACCAGGGGATGAGATGTTCTGATTGGACAGATTTAAGTCACATGTTCACCTTTGCAGCTGATGGTGGAGTCAATTTCACCTGATGAAATGGTCTGAAAAAAGGGAAAAGTATGGTATCAATCAAGGTCCAACAAGGAGTACTGAAGTTGCTTTACATCTTTCGAACAGATAATTTGGGCCAGTTGTGGGGGGGTGGGCGTGGGGGGGGTGGCGCACAGTGGTAATAAGCAGCTCAAGCAAAGCTGGAGGATCCATATGTAAGATAGCGGTTCAGGTTAACTTGTACATACCAGACATGTGTGCCTGTAATCTTGGCTGGCTGGGAGGCTAAGGGGCAGGGGGATCATTGTGTGGGACCCTGTTGAGTGTGTTTGTTCTTCTTTCTCTCTCTCTCTCTCTCTCATGAAATAAATAAACTTTAAAAAAATAAACACAGGTAATTTAGTGTAGGAAATTGTTTACATAGGCAATGGTAAAGTAGAGAAGCCAAATGGAGACGGTGAGTAACTCTGAGATTAACCACAGCAAGATATTGCTACTGCCACTTGCTGGAGGGGCAAAGGAAGGAAGTGAGCAGTGTTCCCAGAGTTCAGGAGTCCTAGATCCTCTTGGTGGAAGCAGTGGCTGTAGCACAGTCTGTATAGTAGAAGCTAGATGACAAGATGCTTCTCCTGCTAGAGATATTACCCACAGCAGAGAGAGGAGGAGAAGTACTTGGGCTTCTACCTTCCTCCTACCCTCCAGTCTCCTGACAATTGCCTCTCCTTGGCTTAATCCTCTTGGAAAGCCAAATGACACAAGGGCCTTGATAAGTAGAATGCAGGGATCAGCTTTCCTGAAAAGCAGAATATAACAAGGAAAAACTGAGGAGTGGATCTGAGTGCAGACAAGCTCAGGATTGGCACAGGGTGTGTTAGGATCTTTTCATCTTAGGATGAAAATAAGGGTGATGTAAGAAGGGGGGCTGGCTGAACATATAAAAATATTTCCTATAAACAGGCATTTTAAATATTGGAAGTAGTTGTGAATAATTGAAAAAAGTCTTTCCAGCAAGCAGATCACAGTCCACAGAGGACAAGTGGTAGTCTCGATCAGGGATAAACTTTGTGAGTTCAGTAAGAAATAACAAGAGATGGGAGGTGTCCCAGTAAGCAAGTCGAGCAGGATGACTGAGAATTCAAGGACACCTAATATTCTACAATCCATGGTGACATCAGAGAAGTCTGCATACACATAGTCACACATAGGACTAGGATTCCAAGCCAATGGCTGAGAGAAAATTAGCAAAAGGCATGCTTTGAGTGAATGACAATACCCAAGACCACTGGCCAAGACCAGAAGGCCTAGAGAGTAAGAATGAGATCCTGGGTATAAAGTAGAGCCAGAGCTGGATAACTGGCAAGAGACCAGAAGCTATTCCAGAATGCTACGCTGTAGCTCCTGAAATACCCCATGCCTCATATCAAGACTGTGGCCAATGAATTCACAGATGTTGGTCAAGTGGCCAGGCATGGAGAAAGTGTCTATGGAGGCCTTGGCCAGATAAAGTTATGGTAGTTGCACATTTGTTGTTTTTGCCAGCCTAGAAGGCATTCATTCCTACTTGCTATGGTTTAGGAATGTTCTTTTCCTCCAAGGTTTATGTTCTGGAAGCTTGGTCCCTAGTCAAAGGCTTTGGGAGGTGGTGAGATCTTTAAGAGGTGGGGCCTAAGAGAGGGCACCATCGAATCATCTGGGAGAGTGGGAGGGACAAACAGGCAGTGGGAAGTTCTGTTTCTACTCTTTTGCAGCCATTATGTGATGCAGCACCAGAGGCTGGCCAGATGTTGGCTCTACGCTCCAGATTTTCCAGTCCCCAAATCCTGAGCTAAACAAACCTCTACTCTTTACAGATCACCCAGTCTCAGGTATTTCTGTTTAGCAGTACAATAATAGATCAAGACACTAAATTTGGTAATAACTCTGATTTCCTTTGTGAAACAACCCTCTCACCCCACCTTGGTTCTTCCAATACAACTGGCCCTAACCCGTGCTCCAAGAGTCATCATAACACTCAGGCCTAAGTCAGCCCACTCCTGGCCACAGTGATTTTAGATGGACGTGTGACCTATATCCATCCAGAGGTATTTCAGTTATGCATGTTTGTGAAACTGTTGGAGAAAAAGAAAATCTGTCATATTCAGAGTTCTGAGGATGTTAATCTGGACCTGTCACATGAAGAGAGCTTGAATAAGAGTAAAGCCAGCACGGAGAAAAGCAGAGCTAATAGAGACAGAAGAGAGTGAGGAACTACCTCCCAAAGCCCTTGCTGGAGCTGGGGAGTAGGGAAGCCATGTCTTAGGGCAGCCAAACTTCCCAGAGTTCTAGTTACTTGAACTCTTTTGTGTTTTCTTTTTGCTGAAGACAATCTGAGCTTGTTTTTCAATTCAGTCACAGCGGGAAAGGTACTATTCCACTCTTTCTTTCATTATTTTTACATTCCATTTGATTTTCATATGAAAAATGGTTAGGAAGCCTGAAATGCCAAACTTCCTTCAAATACCCAATGTTTTCTTTGATTTTCTAAAATCATTGTGAACTTTTCCTGGGCTTTGGTAGACATGATCACACATGAAATGCGGATGTTGGCTAATGCCCTTACTTACTGCAGAGAGTCCAGGGAAGTGCTGCATTCGGTGTTTTTGATTAATAATTAAAAAAAAAAAAAACAGGGAAAGAAGAGCCTGTAGAACTCTGATGTCTCTCCACTTTTCATCCTATGAAGTCTTGAATGTGTCCTAACTCAGACAAATCTTTGTTTCAACAAAGCATTTGAAGCTTATCTTCAAGACCAGTAAAATGAACCAACTTTGGCTAAATTCTTTCTTTAAAAAAACAAAAAAACTTAATGAGCAGGTTGTTTTCTGAATTGATCAAACAAATCACTGATTTTGGCATCCTGTGGAAAGACTGTCTAAAAGACAAAAATAAAAGCCTAGTTTAAATTACTGTCCAGGGAGGTTGGCATACTATCAGTTGAGTAATCATAAAAAATATTCTCTGAATGAGGAGTGATCCTAGAACAGGCAGAATTTAAGCTTGTCCTAGTAGATATAAGGAAACTATGAATTAGGTCCACTTTCCTTGCAATACACAAAAATTCATCCTGATTTGGCTTAAGCAAAATGGGAATGTTTTATAAAAGATAGGTAAGTGTCTTTCAAAACCTACAGGCAGATTGTGTCTGGGTTAAGAAACATCTAGGATTAGCAGCTCAAATATGGCTACAAAATACCTTGTCTTAATTTCTCTGTACAGATGTGATTCTTTTTATTCACAGAAGCTTCTCGTACCTGAGAAAAAATCCAGACACTGCTAGTTCTTGACTGTTGTGTTTTATAATTTTAGCCATCCTCTGGGTCTCAAGTGTTAAAGTTCCAGAAAAGGGCCCCTGGATCAATCAGCTGTGTCCGGAGCAGGCAGGTCACATGTTCAAAATGGCTGCTCCCATGTAATGTAATCACAGTTTGGAGTGATGCATGGGGTAATGGGGAACATCCTAGATAATCAGAGAAGCTCAGCAGATTAAAGCAATATGGCTGTACATAATGGCAGTGTAACTCATGACACATATATTACCAGGTCCTCTTTTATCACTTTGTTATTTCCATGTAACAGATTATCACAAACTTAATGACTTAAAGAAAAAAACCTATTTATTAGCTCGCTGTTCTGTAGGTCAGAAGTCTGGTCATGGCTTGGCTTAGTGAAATCAAGATGTTCACTAGACTCTCATCTTAAGCTCAGGGTCCTCTTTCAAGTTCACACAGTCATAACAGAATTCAGTTTCTTGAGGTTTCAGGATTTCCTGTTGGTCATTAGCTAGGGGCCATTCTCTAGAGGCTACTGTATACTTTGGCCTCTCCATTTGCAAAGTTAGCAATGGAGAATGTCCTTTCTGTTAAATCCTCCTGATGCTTCTAATTCTCTTGCCAGGAAGAAACACACTTCTTTTAACAGGTGATTTGGTTAGGTCAGGCCCTCTGAGGAAAATCTATGTAAGTTAAGGGCAAAGTCCTCCCTAAGCTGACCCTGCTTCAGATACCAGCAGCAAATGAAGTTCAAGGCCATAACCCTTCTGGCTATAAATTAGGGGGTTTCTGCGACTCCATCAGTCATTCACTAGAATGACTCACAGAATTCAAGAAAGCAATATTTCTGTTTACAGTTTTATTATAAAGAGTGTAAATATGCTAAGGTCTGGGAGGAGCTTCCATACCCTACTTCACAAAGTTAAGGGTGTATTACTCTCCAGGAACATGCATGTGTTCACCAACTGGGAAGCGCTATCAAGCCATGGTACCCAGAGTTTTTATTGAGGTTTCATTAGGTAGTCATTATTGAATAAATCATTGGCCACGTGATTAAATTCAGTCTCCAGCCTTCCTCCTCACCCTGGAGATCCAAAGATCTAGTCTAGTCCAATTGTCTAACTCTTTAACCATTTAGTTGTTTCTCCTGGTGACCAGTGTACATCTTGAAACTATCCAGGGATCACCAAGAGTCACCTCATTATCATAAAAAACACATTCCTGTCACTTAGGAAATCCCAAGGGTTTTAAGAATTCTAAGCCAGGACCCAAACACCAGACCAATTATTAAACCACATGATCATCTTGGAATTCTGTCTACCATACCTCTCCTGACTCATCATCTTTACCTCTTGAAGTTCTTCAAAGCCCATCTCCGATGCCACTTCTTTTATGAGCCATTTTCCATCACCTTCACTGCATATGTTCTTTCCTACCTTCAAACTCCTACAAAAATAGTTTTTCTTATACTGTAACTTTTACCTTCTTTACCACATACTCTAATTTTTTTACTTTTTTTTTTTTGGAGAGGTTTTTGCTATAGGGCGCATGCGCTCGCCAGACAGACAGAGAGAGACAGAGAGATAGAAAGCGAGAAATCTCCTCCCAGGGAGGATGGCCAGGCCGCAATCCCTTCTCCTCCATTCTCCTCTCGGGATCTTGGGCATGCACGCACACGCACCCGGTGTGAGTTTTAAGCCACCAGGTCCAGGATGCGAACTGCGGTCGACTACATGGGAGTCCAGCAACAAAGTCATTACGCTAACTGCTGGTCCCTCACATACTCTTAATTTTTGTTACAAGTTTTCTTTCAGTAACTGGACTGCAAATTACAGGAAAACATAAACTGCTTATTTATTTAAATCCCCTCATTGATTTAAATATAGCAAGAGCTCAAAAATATTTACCAAATTGAACAGAATATTAGAGGGGAAACCACCTTTTAATAAAGTGTTCTTGAAATGAGATAACTAGATCATTTGAGATGGAATTGCAACAACCCTTTCATGGAACACTTTAAAGCGTTGGGAGAAGGGCATCGCAACCTGACACCATGCTATCTTTTTTCAGGCTTGATTTATTTCTCTGCCATTTAGCATATCTATAGCCAGATCTTAGGGGGCCTGCAGAAGCCTAAGGGAGAGCTGCACTCTTTCATCAGTTTCTTGGCAATTTACAGGATTTACAAGACTGAAAAACTAGATATTGTGCAAAAAAAAAAAAAAAAAAAAAAAAAAGGCCAAAATTGTTAATCCCTATGTGGTACATCCATATCAAACTGCCTAGCAGAAGGATTGGAAGCATCTCTACAGCTTCTTGGACTTGAAGATTTTTTTTTTTTTTAATTTAGACCTCATAAAAATGTTCTTTTAATGACTTCTAGTTACTTCTTTGGCTATTATAACTCTGAGGTGCATTTTCAAGTATCTCTGCAGATACCAATGCCCAATGACAGGGTCCCAGACACTCTCAGACTTCTTCTTGCCTACGTTATTTCAATAAGGTTAAGTCAGACATTTTTGCTTCCAAGCACCCTTGAGTTCACTTTCTTCCTACCCACATTTTTCTTTTTTCCTTTCCAGAATTGGTCACATAAACAAGTAGAGGAAGTAGTTGTGCTATGATTTGAGAGGTACCTGGAAGGCACTGACCAGAGAGTTTCACACAAGGATTCACACTAGGATTTCCAATGATCACCTTTAGTCTCCTATCTATCTGTCTGTCTATCAATCAATCAATCAATCAATCATCTATCTATAGCTATCTACAGTCATGCACTGTACATCAATACAGGCTACAAAATGAGATTATCTATCCAGAATACATTACATATTGGCTCAATCAAGGATTTTACTATACATGTTACAATCAAGGATTTTACTATACATGTTATCATTAACAAATAATTTTCTTTTTCTTGTTTCTTATATATTTTGCTCCACCCCTCCTTGATTCCCTAACTCTCACCCTCTGCCGATTCCTCCCCTTCTCCCAACACTATCTCTGGTGTGTAAAGTTGTTTTCCATGTCTTTTTTTTTTCACATTTTATTGATTCACTAAAGAGCTTAATTAATTTAAAACTTTCAGTAGCAAACACGGCTGATATATACAAATCTATGAACACATGTCTAACTTGAGGCATGAACCTGAGTAAGATGAACATACTATGAAGTAGCACCTTTCTGGGGCTATATAGCTTACTATAGTCATTAAATAGGTATTAATATTTTTGATGCATTTTTTTTATTTCAAGAAAAAGTCTTAGTTTTAATAGATCAACATAAAAAATGTTAAGAGAAATTTGCTTAAAACTTAAAGCCAGGAAAAAGGTTAGGATTCAGTTCAAATAGTGGATGAACCTATCAACAGTTCAAGAGAAGACAAAAATCCTTAAATGTGGAAATCAAAGCATTGAAGAAAACAGTAATGTTTTAGTCTGAAGTGAAAAAAATTCTATTTCACCAGTTCAGACTCACGTAATTAATCTCTCTTCTATTGAATTTGCAGTGTTACTGTGGTCTGATCTTTCCATTTAAACTCTGGAAGTTAACATTCA